CCGGCCTCCAATTGAGCCCGGACCAGTATCTTGAACACATGATTTTCTCAGCAACTCACAGGCTGCACAGTGCACTGCAGCGTCTTTGGACTCGATATCCAGCTGTTAATGAAAATGGTACGTAAAGCGAAAGTTGGACAGATCTCGCGATGTGTTTATTTTTGCACGAAAGTGCTACCTCCTTAAGTTGTTTCTCACTCCATAGTAACATAGTTATTAAGCAGGCACATCTGAGTTGTTCGAAGCGAAGAATCCACGTAAAGCTATACCATAAGCAACCGTGGTTTGTCGAATTCCGAGACCGTATATCTCATTTATGGAAAGCGCCCAAAAAAAATTTTTAAGTCCAGGATCTCGGGTCGAGCACAGCGAGATATGGGTTTGAACCGATCGATTCAACAGATGCACATGCTTCATACAGAGTGTCATCGGAATTAAGACGCAAGCAAGCACAACGAGATACGGTTTGATAGAATTTTAAGACGCAAACGAACTAGCCTGAAAGGAAATAATACCAACACCGGAACCATGCAATTCGCGACCGAGTCCAGGTTATATTGACAAATAGTACCAATAAGTACACCTCCAAAAAAAAAGGAAAGCATTGTGATAACAACAAACACGAATTAGAGTCCGAATGAATACAGCTAGGTAATAGTAACCTCCAGATCCACAGAAAGTGGTTCCGGGAAGCCTTTCATACCTCCCGACGCATTTTGACCCAAAGGCAGGCAGAGAGATACAGGAGACGAAAGTCGAAGACGAGGCTTTGGGGGGGTGGGGGGTGGAAGGAGTGTGTAATGTTATGTATATGATACAATCTAAAAGAATGAAGCAGTTGGTATGAGAGCCGAAATCCCTGAGAAAAAAAGATGATGATGTTGCAGAGCCGTTGATATGATCTAGAGAAACATAAGAGTGAGCGGAAATACTCAAAAGAAGGTTTAAAGAATTTTTGTCCTTACAGTTCTTCACCAGTCAGCAGCACCTGCTTCGCTGGTTCCTGCACGCCTCCAATCGGCGGCCCCAGCCTCGCTAGTCCCTGCACGACGCCAGTCAGCAGCGCCGGCTTCACTAGTACCTGCACGTCGCCAGTCGGCGGTACCGGCTTCACTAGTTCCTGCGCGTCGCCAGTCAGCAGTACCTGCTTCGCTGGTACCTGCACGCCGCCAATCAGCGGCGCCAGCTTCGCTAGTTCCTGCACGCCGCCAATCAGCGGCTCCAGCTTCGCTAGTTCCCGCACGCCTCCAATCAGCGGTTCCAGCTTCGCTAGTTCCCGCACGCCTCCAATCAGCGGTTCCAGCCTCGCTAGTCCCCGCGCGCCGCCAGTCCGCAGCGCCTGCTTCACTAGTACCCGCGCGTCGCCAATCAGCGGCGCCAGCTTCACTGGTCCCTGCACGCCGCCAGTCAGCGGCACCTGCTTCGCTAGTACCCGCACGAGCCTGAGATAAGAAATCAAAGTTAGTGAAGAATAGTGGCAACCGAAGAACAAATGAACCTCGATAGGAGCTGCCTGGGAATGGACAGCAAACAAAAGAACCATAGCACCAGCTAGGAGAGAGTATGTGCGCATCGCGAAAAAATAACAAAAGTTGACGAAGAATGGGCCGAGTTGAGATGGGGCGAAAAACTGAGCATTCTGACTGACGACCCATGGGATATATATCGGTTTTGACATTCAATATCAAGAAAGAGGAACCGGTACCTGAATGTACAAATTTAGCCAAAAGTTTTGTACTTTGTTCGCAATCTGACAAAATCTTAATCAATCCCCGTTTATATGCAAGTACCTAGGTTGACCCTGCGGCGCCCTTGCCGCCTTTCATTTCTTCGAGTTTCAAGGTCCAGCATCCAACTCAGAATCATCTTTTCACGGTCGAGTATTCGAAACTTGCGACTTAGTGAAGCCACTCGTCCATCGTAGACCTTTAAGATTTTAGAGGTCGCCGGCATCCGACGATGATCAAAGCTGGAATACAACATAACTTTTCCAAACAGACAACAGACAATAACGTGGTAGCAACCAGGTCCCATCCCGGCCGATGACAGAAATACGGATCCCTCTCAGGTCCAAGGTTCGTGCAAATGGGGAATGCTTTTTGCTGCTCGAGCCTGCCCAGAAAACGGTGACAAAGCATCGTTCCGACCGCCTTTGTGTCAGCGTCCGCCGCCCAGAAAGGCCTGCTAGTTCGGAGCAGCAAGGCGGAACTGTAGGCTCGTTTTCCTCACGACTATATCGGCATCTTTTCACTCCATCGTACAAATGAAGGAAGATCCTCGCGTCGTCTGGAAGTTTCCTTTGTTCCTGGTGTTGCTTCAAGCGTTGGTGTTAACTTTAAACTCAATAAATCTGCCGGTACCCCCGGCTCAGCCTTCCTTCATTAATCTTTCGCTTCAAAAATGGATCTTCTATACAGTGACGTAGGATTTCTACTTCAATTTTTCGATACACACGGACGGACCAGGTACAGTGCATACGAGCAAACGTCAATCCCAATTCAATCCCATCCAGCTCATGCCGACGTCGAATATACTTGACAGACAAAATTATCCAGAAAGTTCTCTGCTGAGTTGCGTGCGGCTCCAACAAGATCAGGCTGAATGGAATCCACGCGTTTGGAGGTCTCGGAATCGCAGGCGCATATACATAGGATAATAGAGATATCTCTTGAGAATGGAGCCTGTTAGGCACCAACTTTCCTTAGAAAGCTGGCTGTCCAGATCTGACAGACCGTGAATGAAGAGGCACAAGTCTGCGTGCAAAAGACAAATATCTCAAGGCCGGTGATTCTCATACCTGTCTCGATCAACTTTTCAACACAACATGATGAACATGCGGGCAAGGCTTCCGTCATTGCCACTTGCAATTGACGGTTCTTGCAACATGCCTACGGGCAATTTTGGAAACTCGTCCAAAGACTGATGATTCTACCCTTGTTGGGTACTTCGGATTAGGGTGCTAGCAACTTCGAGCCCCATGCCATCTTTTCTAGTCTGCGGGCACCAGTGTTCCTACCGAGATACAATTTGACACCAGAGTGCTTGCTATCATGGCGTTAATTCTAACTCCCTTGCCAAGATGTTGCGATGGCTATTCTGAAAACATGTGTGTGCGATGGCTTTGGAGTTGAACTTCCGAATGGCCCAGTGCCCTTGGTGCGATTGTGCCTTGGTCCAGTCAGCTTGAATAAGTGAAATGGAAAGGGTACCGGAGAGCGGTCGGAGACAATGCTTACCGCTGTGAACTCGGTAAGTTTTCATCGGATTGTGCTCGCCTTTCCCAACCACAAAATCGATTCCCCTGACGTTCTCGCTTGGGCCTGTATAGGTCTGAAACATCATCGTGCTTTGGGTGGATCATGACATATGCATTGAACAAGAAAGTCTAATACTAACAGTGTCTTCTTTTTGGGGGAGTAATATGGTTACCGAGTTCAAATGAAGAAATGAAAGGTACTCAGGTAAGATAGTATCATGCTCAAGCTTTCTGATTCATGATTCTATGGTGCAAGCATGTATAGACCCGGATGGTAGAGGTTCCGGCTCACAACTAGGGCGAAGTAGATTCTTCGATGAATGCAAGGTACGAGGACAAGGATCTAGATAAAATAAACATTCGTTCCTATGTACCCCTGCATCTTCATAGATCGATTTCATTTGAGATTATCACATCCTGGGTAAGTTTCGGTGGTTTTGTTTCTACCAGACTAGGATTGGAAAGCTTCAAGCGCAGAGGGTAACTTCCAATTCTGGTGAGTTCCCTGTTCGTTTCGCTTAAATCATCTCTCAATTTTTACATACAGTGCAACATGCTACTCACGGCGGAACCCAGGTTAAGGCCCTCTAATTACCCATCGGGTAGGGAAAATTTTAGTTCAGAAAGCGGTCCATAACTACGGCACTAATAAGCGATCCAATCCTCTTGTTTTCGAAATAAAACGATTCCTTTGCAGGTTCAAAGCAAACTTAAAAAAATCCCGCGCTGAATCGACCCATTAATGGGCACTGTCCAGTGCCGAAGAGAAGACGACATGCGGTGGGCCACGACATGGGCCTGTGCTGGCATGTATCGACACTGAGGATAAGCCGTACATTGCACCGTTGTTCGGCTACAGCCCTACGCCAGCCCTACGCGGACAATTCTTCACTTCATCCAGCTTTCAGACCCGCATTGCACTCTGTTCGGCTACAACCCTATGGTACACGGATAATTCTTCGCTTCAATCTCTACGATCCATTTTTTTTCATACCATGTTCTGCAGCATATGTATCTACGTCTCTGTTGCAGCACAAGTTTCAATATTTTCTCAATTATCGAGAGGGTTTCAAGCTACGCACACTGATTTTCCATTTGTGCATTTGAATTGATGTATCAGATGGAATCCAGAATTCTTTTGACACGCTAAAACGTTTGATACGATGCACATGCCCCTCCGGTTAGATACATATTGCTCCTCGCTTGGATTACCAAATTGCAAAAGAGAACTCACTGCCATCATAAATATGCTTATCGTCCGCCCAGTATTTGCAGGCGTCATTTTCTTTACTGAAGCAATTGAAAGGGCAACTGCAAGCAGCCTCTTCGTTCAGACCAATGCCGAAATGCCAGGCGTTAACGTTGAAAGTGAGAAAGGAAAGGAGGAATGAGAAGAGAATAAGGGTAAACTTCATCGTTTCGTGTTAGTTTGAGGCTTGCGGAAGGAGGAAAGTTGGGAACTTAGGATTCGAAGAGATGAGGACCAGCCTGAAGAGCTCGACCTGCAAAACTTGGAGCCCTTTATAGTCTACACGGTTTGATAATAATCAGCATATGAGGAGCCGCTATCGCTTGAATTTGAATATCTGATAACCATCATCTACAAGGACCTTTGAGACTCGAAGGCCAGCTTTCCAAGTTCCAACTCAGCCAGTCTCCATTTCGAAGCGCACAGTACGCAATTTCTCTAGTGGCGACAAAATTTCATTAAAAAAAATGAAGAAAAACAACCGGTAATCTATCATGGCCAACGTGGGGATCGAACCCAAGACCTTCGCGTAACAATAGCTGAAGTATTATTAGCACGACGCTCTAACCAACTGAGCTAGTCGGCCTTAAATTTACCCGCTATATCTATAGTATATGTCCTCGCCGGACCATGAAGCTAGGCAAGAGAGGTGGGTGTGACAGTGCGGATTAGTCTCCTAGCAGCATTTTATACAAATCTAGATACTTTTATTCGTCCATCTATACCATATATCATGCCTTCTTTCCATCTACACGCACCATAGATTCATCCGCCTTCTTCTTGGCCAACTCGTATCCCTCAAATCCTAACGACTTTTGCACTACGTCCTCGGGAGCATCGGGTTCAAGGTGACCTTGAGCATTTCGGCGAGCTCTGTGATCAAGAAAACCGAGAAACTTTCAGCATTCCACCATCCTCAGAGCCGATGAGGTATCGGCCCTTACAGAAAAAACCACTTACCTAAAGAATGTATAACTCAGCACGACATCTTCTACATTTCTACAGCTCGGATCATCCAAGACATCCTTGTCTATGAAGAATAAGAGAGGCATGTCGACTGTTTCATTCGGAAGAAGCTTCTGCTCATCAAAGCAGAAGCATTCGATTTTAGAAAAGTACGGTGCGATCTGGGCCGAGAAATGAGCCGAAGTTAACGAAGAGATGAGGGGTTGGAAAAAGGACTAGGGGGGGGTTATGAGGAATCGAACCTACCCTATCCGGAGTAACGTTGTACGTTGCTACACCGATGATATCTTCTTTACTATTATTTGTGGCGGTATAGAAGGCGAGAGAGGATTCGCCTGTCAAGTTTGAAGAAAAAAGAAGCATTTAGATTTCGCAAATCAAGTTGAATAGGAATGGCAGGGAGAGAAAAACGCGGCAAAGCTAAGAATTGAAGGGGAAGCCAACGGATTGTCGGATCCCAATGACGATGCAAGAAAGGTGTTTTCCGAGTCAAAAACTAACCTGGCACAACAACCACACCCCTCTGCGCAGGCTTGAACGTCCATGGTAGGGATTGCGATGTGCTCGAAGTGAAAGATACCTTGAACCTTCTGGTCTTGGTATTATCTTCGGATGGGTAGAGTGGAACGAGACGGGAGGGGGCAAACCGGTCGTTTTCGGGGTTAGATGAGGGTGTCAGGAGAGTCTTTAGGGGCTCCGGGAACCACTCGGGGAGCCAGGAAGGAGGAGTAGAAGAGGAGTTGGAATCACCATGGGTTCGCGTACTAGGAGTACCCGCGAAACCTATGCTCATATGAAAGGTGGACAATGGTGAGGCAAATGTCAACACCAAATCGAGCAGAGACGATATCTACATACCAGTCGCGGAACAAAACAAGCGATAGAGTGGGACCGCGGCATAAGTCAATCCTAGAAAGACTACTATCTTTATCCCGAAAGGAATATGTTAGAGCGGCGTAGTAGAAAGTGACAGACAAGAGAGACGGACATACCACAGCCCCAGTATACATCAACAAACTCATATTCTTTTTCGCGCGAGCAGCGTACATCTCCTCTCGAGAGCGGTAGAGCGGCAAAGGGCCTGTGTAGACGCGTTTACGATGGGAAGAGCCGGTAGTTGAGAATGTATCGGGATTAGAAGACGCGGGATTGGATTCAGAAGATGATGTGGGTAGTTTTGCGGAAGGTTCGGATGGCTCGGAAGGGGATGGCGAACGGTCGGAAGAAGTAGCTATTGAACGCGCTTGCCACCGCGTCCGTTGCATCAGAGTCCACGAAGGTGATTTATTCCATGATTGAGATGTTGAAAGAAAGGACGCTGGAATCTTGGAAGTAATTAGTTTACCAAGAAAGTGATGCATAAGGTGCACTCACAGATCTATTAGGACTTGCACGGCATAGAATTAGGGCAGTATATCCTCTTGTCTTCCAATATGAATTGGAGTGCCCGCATAAATCTATCGACCTTCGACATTTCACGCCATTGCAGACCGTGAATGAGAAGGCTGGGGATAATGAGGATTGCTGATGTCGAAGCAAATGAGAGTAGAGCATATTCCAAGTCCTGACTGCGAGGATATTCCGTCAAGTCTTGCTGCACGTCCACGTAGCCACTTCTCAGGTCAATGTCAAGACGAAGGCCAAATTCGAGTCCCGGTCGAGGTCGAGGTCTGGATCGGAGCGGCCCGAAGTTTCCAGACTCTGACTGCCGCTCGTCAATCTCGAAATGTAACACAGATAGCAACCAGCAGCAGAATTTGGTACGAGACTCGTTTCCCAAATGCCTCACGACCCTCTCCTCCTCGAGTCTTACAATGTTTAAATGATGTTTACCTTCCCGATTCGAAACATTTCGTTTTTGCCTCCGGTTAAAAAATTACTAGTGTATGATCTAGCCTGATTCTGTAGGAGAGACAAGCAGGATGGCAGATATCGCCGAAGAACAAATATGTAAATGTGAGTACATAGTCCTTCTTTTTTTTGAACTCTTCATTGCCGCAGACAAGTAAAACTAAGTACTAAGGCCTAAGGAGCGGGGAGCCGCAACACCAATCAGTTGCGCTCCGTTCGCTTGGGTGTTTTCCTTCGGTGTGTGTCACATGGTCCTTCTTTCATGTTTCATATTCGCCAAGTTCCGTCAATTCCACATACAAGCCAAATGATCAGTCTCGAATGGCAAAAGTTGGTGTTTTCAGTCTTTTGATTAGCACTACTCTCTTCCGAAGTACAATTTAGACTGAAATCGGAAATGAATTTGCAGTAGGTGCCACTGGTTATATTGGAACGAAAGAGCTGAAAGAGAGTAATCACGGCTTTGTATACAAAGCCAGCCAAGCCGTGTCGAACGGCCCTTAAAGGGCGACAAGAAAGTCCGCCATGGGTTAGGCTATGACAGAAGACTCCTCAACGCACTGGAATGTCTGATCTAACTAAATCCAACATCCGAATTCCGATGATTATCCCGTAACAGCTACAGTTGGCTATAAAATAGATGTGTGTTTGCGTCTCCAATAGTTCTCTGACCGCCACCAACTACTACTATGCCTCTGAGCTTCTGCGGAGCGCGTCGCAATCGAAAGCCGAGGGGATCCCCAGGTAGGTCATCGTCTTAACGCGACGACGCCTGAATTTCACGACGATACCTATCGCAGCGTCCTCTAACGCACATCTCCTGGATGAATTTCGCCGTGAATGTGACAAAAATCCTAAGCTCAAGCCTCTCTACGACATCTTTGTAACTTGGCAGGGAGGCACGGCGAATCCCAAGTTGTTCTTCAACCTGTGGCAACTCGTTCAACAAGAAGAAGAGCTATTGGCTCTCTTTAAGGAAAAGGTTGACCACGACCTCGATGCTGTTGCTTCCGCAATAGCACGCCTTTTCGAAGATGCGTACGTTACCGAATAAGACCCTTCCTTGGAGAACAATCAACTGATGAATGTTTTTTTAGTGATGACTCGAAAGTTAATGCATTTACGAAACAGTATGAGAACACGGGTCGCGTCACTGCTCCTAGGGATGACAGTCAGCTCAATTCGGTCCCCAAGAAGCAATCCTTCATGTACAATGACTTCGTCAACCTTGTTGTCACCCACGGACAGGAGAGTCCTGATGTTCTGGAAAGCGATGGCAAGCCTATGGTCTACTTGAAAGATGAAGTATTCGAGAATTGGGGCCGTACTGTCAAGAATACGCCCAGTTATACATTTGTAGCAAAAACCAGAGTCGGCGTTCAGAACCTCGTTAAGTGGGCGAGTACGGTAAACAAGCGCGTCAGAGGAGCGGGGTTCCGACATACATGGGGGTGAGTTGTATTATTGGAGTATACACGGGTTTTTATGTGGCTTACTTGCGTTTCAAGCGATTTATACTCTGCTGATGGGGATATCATCGTGATTCTTCTCCCTTTATCCACGACCAATAAGCTGCCTTCCCTCTTGAAGGTCGATAAAAGTTCAGATCTTCAAGGTGTACAAGTGATCCGGAAAGATGATCAGTACTTGGCAAAGATTGCTGCTGGTACAACAAACGATCAGTTCCGTGAATGGTGCCTCGATAACAAGACCGTGGCGTTGCCTTTGAATGTCATCATGGTTAGATCCGTTTGTGTTAATTTCTCTTGGAGATGGCTGAAATGAATTTTGCACAGATCGAGATAACTTTTGGTGGATCCAATGCTCCCGTATGCCACGGAGCAGGTATCACGACCAGCACATTATCCGACCTTGTTGCAGAGGTTGAATATGTCGACCCGCGCGGAAACATCCAGACCGTCAATGACCCAGCCGAGCTTCGAGCGGCGGCCGGGTGCTTTGGTTTACTCGGAATCGTGCTCAGCGTTACGCTGCGGGTGGATAAGATGCAGAAGGCCATAATGCAGCCGCAAAAGCTTCCAGCTCCGCTCGCCATTCCCCCGCCACCAGACTACCCGGTGCCGAAGGAGATAGACATGTCCAAATACACTGCCAAGCAGCTACAGGATGCGCAAAAGGCATTCCAAGAGACGATTGAGCAGCAATATTACGTCGAGTGGTTCTGGTTCCCTTTCCAGGAAGATGTATGGGTCAACGTATGGAAACGCGCCGAAATCACAACGTTTGAAAAATTGGATCCTTATCCAAGTAATTTTCAGGCCGGTCTGCAATGGGTAAGTGATCAAATGTCTTAGTTTACTTTCATGTGATTCTGACGCCCGCATTCTCCTCAAGCTGGAAGGCTTCTTCGCTGAAATCATTGTCAATTGGTCCTTATTCAAAGCGCTTCCTGGTAGGCTACAAGCGTACCTATTCGGGACCATTGGCATGCTCCAAATGCCTCAAGTAGCTGACGAAAAACATGCAATACAGACCTACGTTAGCGAAGCATTGCATTTCAGGAGGGGCATACGTACGTCTCCTGTCAAGCTTGCAGGGTAATGAATGTATGGCTGACTGCTCAAACAGAAAACATGCGATGCCTAGATTCAGAGTGGGAGATTCCTATCCCTGCGGCGAAAGGGGGAGCGACCAGGGACTATACTGTCATCCAACGCGCATGGTGCGTCGGTTTTATTCATTCGTTCCGAGCGTTCTACTTATTCGATGCTCATAGGTGGGATGGGATAACCGCATTTTATAAGAATC